AGCCTTTTGAGTGTAGTGTGTGCAACAAGAAATTTGCAGGCAGTAGTTGTCTCCGCACACATCTTCGAACCCACACAGGAGAACAGCCTTTTGAGTGTAGTGTGTGCAACAAGAAATTTGCGAAGAATACTAATCTCCGCACACATCTTCGAACCCACACCGGAGAACAGCCTTTCGAGTGTAGTGTGTGCAACAAGAAATTTTCTCAAAGTCAGGACTTGCATGCTCATCTTCGAACCCACATAGGAGAACAGCCTGTTGAGTGTACCCTGTGCAACAAGAAATTTAGGACTCCTGGTAATCTTCGCTCACATCTTCTAACCCACACGGTTCTTCTTACATAATTGACAGCTACGCTCGGCTACGCGCACATCATAGAACCCATATCGAAGATGATCTTAATGTATTGTCACAAGAAATTTTCTAAAAAAAAAGTATCTGAGTTGACATTGCCGAACCGTCGAAGGTCAGAGAAAAAGGTTTCTAATTTTGTGTATGCAACATGAAATTTGCAGACAACATGTCGTGTGAACATCTAACCCACACAGGATGATTGACTTTCTTTCACGTGTATTCCTTGTAACTTTATTTACATACTTGGGGTCAAAGACTCTTTTCTTTATTTTATATAATATTCTTCAATCGGCAACAAGTTTTCTACTTCTTTGTCCCATGACATTCAATGATACTCTACTGATTCTCAATGTAGTGTACAAAGCCAGAAATAGCCTTCCATTAAAAATCAAACAAACATGAAACGTTAAATAACTCTTTGGGACGTGTATGTTAGAATTCGGCAACGACGTTCACAAGTTTCACAATGCTGAGCTGAAAACAAAAAATCTGTTTTTTGCTATAATTTTGTTTAGTTTTGTCAGACTGTCTATGCCGTATTTTTAAAAACATAAAATAACTAAGAAAATAGAGATTTATTGGTGACTTGACACTCCCTTTTCCGGCCCCACCCCGCAACGTAACTATAAGATGTGCTCCCTGTTTCCTGCGAGTGCAGGCCTTGCTGGCCGCGGGTACAGCACGGCGTGACCTGGATGCTGCGCCATTGTTCCCCTTATGAGAACACGCAAAGCGTTTGCATGCTTACATGCAGCCCCTTTGTCATTGGGGAGGGGGGGGGGGGGGCGGGGGGGGGGGGGGGGGGGGGGGGGGGACGCGGCGAGGTCCGCGACGAGG